TCCTCAGGCTCTCATTTGAATGAGAGTTGGTTGGACGCAGATGAAGGATGGCACACTTCTCCACATTGAAATCTAGAAGCCATTTCTTCGACTACGCTTGCAGTTGGTGCAGATTATCTTGAAGGGATCTCTGATCATTCGGTCCCTTTATGACTTGCCAGAGTTTAGCATCGTCTGCAAACACTATTTTGCCGCAGTCGAGTTTCTGAAGGCTGTCGTTAACGTAAAGGATGAAGAACAATGGTCCCAGAACTGAGCTTTGAGGTACACCACTGGTCACGTTCACCCATTCTGACATATCATCCGCGATACAGACACGTTGTTTCCGACAAACCAGAAACGCCCTTATCCAGTTCAGAAGATCTCACCGGATGCCAATGGCGCTCAATTTGTGAAGAAGGCGTTTGTGCGGGACAGTGTCAAGAGCTTTGCGGAAATCGATGTACAGGTCATCGACCTCAAAACCCTCTTCTTGAGCTCTGGTCCGGATCTCCAGGCAAGCTAGTAGATTTATGAGACAGGAACGTCCTCTCCGGGAGCCATGTTGAAAATCCTGCAAGATGTTATTTTCCTCACAAAACTGCTGTAAAGCGCTCTTTACCATAGCTTCCATCGTTTTGCAAGGGAGGCAAGTTAAGCCAATAAGCCAATAGGTTAGCTGTCTTTCACTGTGAGGGCAGCCCTCCTGTTCTCATTGACAGCTCAAAGAGAGTTGAAAGAGACCTTTACAGCTCCTTTGATAGCTCCTTAATTATTAGTCCGGCAATTCCGTCGGGTCCAGGAGACTTATCAGGATTTATTTGACTGAGGACGCGTCTGACTTCTTCGACGGAAAAGGCGACTGTTTCAATGACGGCAGCATCTTGGCGCATTTGAAGCTCCCGGCTGTCTCGGTCCATTTCAAACTGCTGATTGTCTTCTAAGGACTCCTCCGTAAAAACGGATTGAAATAAACTGAGACAGTAATCGCACTTTCTGTGGCCCTTCAACTAATACGTTTTCGAGGCTATCCTTTAGACACACGATTTCGTCCCTATGTTTCCTCCTACTGCGGATGTCCCCGTAAAACTTCTTGGGACACGTAATGGATTCTGCTATCAGTCGGCGATCGAAAGAAGTTCTAGCAACCCGTATTTGTTTGCGGCATTTATTGTGCTGATCCTTATATTCGGCAAATGACCTTGGATCTCGAAGTTGCAAATACTTGCATATACTGTTATCACTCCTCCCCATAACGACGATTTTCGCGGTTCTTGGTGTCATCTCCCTCAGTTTGACCTCAAGCGGTCTGTCGACATTCACGGCGGAACCCGCTGTACTTGCCCCCTACTAGTAGTTTGGTCGGATCTTCCTTCCCCACTTCTCGGCTGTGCTCGAAACGGCTGTGGCCGATCGCGTCCGGGTTCCCCTCGTCTCGCCACTTTGACACGAATGGTCTCATTCGGCGTATCAATCGTACCCTGACGATGTCCGTTCTTAATCCCTTATACAATACCACATAGAGACCAGTCCTGTCTGAACCGCATACGTACCTCTCAAGGCTGACAGTTATTTCTGCCCTGACGATGTTCGATTATAATCCGTAATATACCGCCATATGGAGTCCAGTTCTGACTGCATTTTTGTCATTATAAGCGACGGTTTTTTTCTCCAATAAAATTAATCCAATCATTTTTTAACTCTAAAGTGGAGGTTTTTCACTGCTCGCTCATCATTATTCTTGACGGACTACAAATTCAGAAACTATGAATTGCATTTTGTACAAATTCCGCCTACCTCGTTAAAAATTCATACGTCAATTTATTTTTACTTGCTTTGGTGGGATCTCAACGGGTCTTTAATACAAATTATTTATTTATTTTATTTATCAAGTCCGTCTACGTAACTGACAGGCAGGCGAGTTCGGCAACCAAGAAAGATGCAGTCCACCGTGTGTCCCAAAGCAGGGTGGGCTCTGGGTGGGTGACTTACGCATTAATTCGTTTATAGTCATTGCAGACTGGCGCTACAACTACCACACTCTGGCTCCCTTCATCCACCTGGGTCGTGTGCCAGGAAAAAGTCAGGAAGGTCGCAGCTGGGAGAGGGCACAGGTGGCGGACAAAGCAAATCAACCCGCCTTTGCGTGCCACACACGACATGGTCCGCTCACAATAGGCCAGAACTTAACACATACGAATGGGAGTGTAATACTGTTCAAAGAAAGAGATAGCAAGCAGCTGACCAGAGCATTTAACGGTTAACTGAGACTGATAGAGAGCAAAATGTCCGAAAGTCCCAACTTTGCCTGCTAATACCAGAATTTCAATGAAAGACCTCATAGTTTGATTGTGTTTGCGAATTCGAAGATGCCACAAATGGCTGGTCGGAAAACAAATTCGTTCACGATGTGATGCGACTAAAATGTGCGCCTATGGATTAGCCCTAAGCAAAGATGACGAGTCCTATCCTTCTTATGCGGCTTATGTAAAGAAAAGGAGCTTCAATGCTCAGTCATTTTGTGAACCCTTCATGGAATTTCTACTTGGCACTTTTGGCCGTTAATGCTGCGGATGCTCTAAGCCTGCGTGATGCGCGCCAAATGTGAATGAAGAATTTTTTAAGGTCTTGGAGAAGAAGTTTTCTTGAAACATCCGAGAAAATTTTATTGTGTTCTTGTAATAGATATACTTGGCCTTTCGCCATCTTTGAAAAATAAAACACACAAAAACGACAGCTTGTTAGGGCTGACGAAAAGCCCACCACACAGCACTCATTTTTGTGGATATTTAGTAGCCAAACTCCGGGCGCATGTCGGAACTCCGAGCTCCTCGCCAGTACCAGCACGGGCGCATCAGTTGCAGTCTGGTCCTCGACCAATGTTGGCTGTCCAATTTGACCAATCATATTTTAAGCTGACTCGGTCGTGTTCTTGCTGAAGGCGGTGGACAAATGCCCCATCGTCTTAGATTCGCGGACGCCAGTCTCGAGGCATCGGACGCGGCCTTGTCTGACTGCTATCTACTAGCAATTTTATGCATAACTCTTTTTTACGCAATACAACATCCTCCCAACTGGCGTCACACTTCTGTTCAGAACTGGCTGGCGCCTCCCTATGGCCTAAGCTGCTGAGATGGATATGGCAGTCTGAGTTGGAGTTGCGTACACTGACTGAGTAACAAGGCACGCCCGTCATGTTTTGCTTCGAGGTTCAATTTAGAGTCCTGCTGGCAAGCGCAGAGGTGTCGGTTGTATGGGCAGAATGAATCTTCCTACCAACAGGCGGTGGTAATCGAGGAGGTTCGACGCGGTTAGCCGAGATGGCTAGATGTGGCATCTAAAAGGGGTGGCACTAAAGGCAACGGAATTAATTCAAAAGGCACTAATACTGATGTGTTGACTGTAACAGTGTTTGAGTTGCCAAACCCCCTGAGAGACATACCGTCCTTTCATTCGTTGGAAAACATTAAATAAGCAACAACCAACTGCTTCGTGCCCGAGAAAAAGGATCCTATCCAAGACCCATATGAACGTACAGGGTCTGCAGTCAGCGTCATCTGGTGCGGGACAGAGTTAAATCATGTATTATTGCCAGCGTGGCCGCATACTCATGTCGAAGTTCTGCCGCCTCAAGCTCCCTGACTATTTATGACTGTGAGAGCTGGAAGCAAAACACGCCGCGCGCATCGCAGTTTGGCTGAAGGCGGGCACAGCCCAGACGGAGACGTGCACACGTGCTGTGGACTAAGAACCTCAGAGACGGACGACCATTCGACCGTCGCAACCGATGATATTTACCGTGGGCTTCACAGCAAGGCGAGGCAGGCACAGTGACTCGCCTGCTAGGGCGAACTTGCCAGCATCGACCGTACTCCCTCCTCCCTCCTTACCTGTGCCCGGTGTCATGACATAGTGAAGACCGAAGGCGGAAGAGGACGCAGGGAGGGGACACGGCCGGACCGCAGCTAGGCATACCAACACACCCCCTGGCACACAACAAACACGACTAGGACTTTAACCAACAGAAACGTCACAACTGGTCAGAAGAACGAGGATAACTGGGCAGCCATGCGTGCGAGCTGTATACTTCGTGGGAGCGCAAGCCTATCAGGCGGCGGTGAACCAGGTGCCAGAGAACTGCCAGCATACACCAGGTTTGATAGTCATGGTATAGAAGACGCTCACAACAGCAGACTCCCTCACACACACACGACTTCTGACAGCTGCTTCCCGAGCTCCGCGTTCGCTATTTCCTCTCAGAAAAGCGTGTCCCGTTCAGTCCCTCTTCCATGAATTGTGATTTTGAAACCTTTTTGTTGTCGAACATGACTACTTACAAACTGTAATTTTCCTTCTTCCTAATATGCGAGACAGTCAGGCGCTGACCATGGAAACTGCTCCACAAATTTTGGGCATTTGAATCTACATCTCCTCCTGCTGAACAACTTATTTGGACGACCGAGCGTCCGATGGAAATGCGCGGCATCGCCAGGCCGACCGTTGCCGTACTAGCAACTTCATCAGACCTTCCTGCGTATCACCCCAAGGCTTCTTCGCCACCCTGAATGCCCAGTATACACCGTAATCTCGTTCCAACACGGCCGCCGACTATTGGCATCACACCACTTCTGGTGAGCCGTAATGAGAAAATGTGCAGCGCCTTAGCTCCTCTTCCTAAGCAGCCAATTTCTGCGCTACCGCACATTGCGCAAGACTCCGTAATTATTCACAGACTGTCCATCCGCAGATCTACCAAATAATAACACAGAAGCACAGTAATGAGTGGCTTTATTCGGTCGCTTGGATTATCTTTGTAGAAAAAATAAAATAGTACCTACACTGTTTCGAAAGCATCAAAAAACCTGAGTTCACAAATAGAATACAATTAACAGGCATTGCACATAGTCTTGGATACAGCAGAATTACCCCAGAAGACGCAAAACAACAATCGGCATTCCAAAGTTTCTAAAATGAATTCAAAATGTTCGGTCAAGAGACTAGGCAGAACGATGACAAGATAATTAATATAAGCAGACATATTGGCTTGTCAACAGGTCATCATAAGAAGCTCGTCTGTCGCAGGCAACAGGGGCAACCGCTGGCCAGAAAGGATGCTGCGGTGACTTGCGGTAGAAAGCAGTCTTATTGTCGTCAGTGGGATGGTCTACGTAGGCTTTGTGCAGGCGATTCTTCTCGGCGAGCAGATTGCTGATGGCGGTGTCGTTGTCGTCGAACCAGTCCTGGTGTTGGCGGCTTGCGCGACCGAGGACGGCCAGTGCCGTCGACTGGACCGTGTCTTGCAGTTGACACCAGCGGTTCTCCACGGAGGCGTTCTCGGCATCGGCGGCGTCGGCGGCGGCAGCGATTGGAAGGTTGTCTAGCCGTTGAGCTAGCTCAGTGCTGAAATGAAGATGGTGAGCGGGCAAGGACTACAAGGCAATATTCAGCTTACCTGGGGGTCGCTTAACTTGTGGTCTCCTGCGAGGCTGTAGGCGAATACGCATCTTCGAGATGACGAGGCGATGGTTGGTCCACCCGTCAGCACCCGCGATCGCCTTCGTCACCAGCACGTCCCGCTGATCTCGCCTCCGGACGAGGACATAGTCCAGCAGGTGCCACTGACGCGACCTAGGATGCCTCCAGGTGGCCTTTTCTCGCTCCGGCAGGCAGAAGAAGTATTTGTCAGGATGAGGCAGTGTTCTGCGCAGATGCGGAGGAGAAGCAGGCCATTGTCTTTGGAGCCGCGGAGACCGTGGGGACCCAGCACTCCTCTCCAGGCAGTATGGTCTGTGCCGACGCGGGCGTTGAAGTCACCAAGGACAATCAACTTGTCCGCCTTCGGCACAGTCGCCAGGAGGGGGTGCAGGTCCTCGTTGAATTTGTCTCTGGCGGCGGCGTCGGGGCTGCTCATCGGCGGAGCGTAGGCGCTGATGATGGTGGCGGATTTGCCCCCAACCCGCTGGAGAGGCAAACGGAGGCTCATCAGTCGATCGTTGATGCCCTGCGGCAAACAGGGCAGTCGTCCCACGATGTCTTTCCGGATGGCGAAGGCGACGCCCGCTTCTCGTCGCTCTGCCCTGGGTCGGCCACTCCAGAAGAAGGTATAACCGGCGCCCACCTCCTCCAGTTGGCCTTGTTCGGAGAATCGGGTCTCGCTCAGTGCGGCGATGTCCACCTTATAGCGCGCCAGTTCTCGTGCTACTAGCGCCGTCCTCCGTTCCGGTCGGTTGCTCCTCGGATTATCTAAAAGGGAAGGAACATTCCAGGCTGCCCGAGTGAGCGGACCCTCCCTGCCAGTCTGGTGACAGCGAGTGGGGCGATGGGAAGGAGGTGGAGAAGAAGATGGCGAAGGAGAAGAATAAGCAGAAGAATAGGCAAAGGAAGAGGACGGAGAGGTAGGATGAGGAGAACGAGTATGGTTGTTGTTGTTGTTATTGGTATTGTTGTTTCGATTTTGATTGTTTCGACCATGTTTAGACGTCTGCGGCCCTGGCTAGCCTGTAGACGACGTGGTGCCCAGCAATGCTTAGGCCACCTTTTCTAGGCCCTTCCTCTCGTGGGGGCTGGCAGCGCCACCCCTGAATAGGGTTGCCATGTGCCGTTGTGGCGCGGCCGAACTCCACTATGGGGCCACGATTTCTGGTTGTAGTAGAGAGCGACTCGAATTCGCCGTAAGCCGCGGCAAGGCGATGTAGATGTGGAGATCCATCCTGTCATCGGCTGTCCAGCGGCGTGCAAAGACTAACCATGTCACGACGGTGCCGACCAAGGTTCCATCCGACCTTCCATCCAGTGGAATCCGCAAACCCTTTGCGCACGGCACGGCGCACAGGGCCCCCTCACCTGGTTCAGTCCGCCGGTCGAGGCGGTTGCCTGGGGTGTGGCCGCTGAGCAGAGCCCAGCTACGTGTAGCCACAGGTGAGAGTTGTGTGCCAGCAAGTGGACGCTAGGCGTAGTCTCACCTGCAAGCAAGTGAGCGACCACTACGACCATCATGTGGACCCACAGCTGACACCCCTTCACCTCTCGCACACGCACCTACTACTGAAGAGACAGCTTGTGGCAGCTACTTCCTGAGCTCCGCGTTCGCTATTTCCCTTCAGAAAAGTTTGTCTAACCCAATCCGTCTTCCTTGAATTGTGATTTGGGAACCCTCCTGTTGACGAGCATGAGAACTCTGGGGTCTGTTTCAACCTTCGACAACTAGTGGCAACTTAAGAACTGCAACTTTCCTGTTTCCGAATCTGCGAGACAGTCAGGCACTGACAATAGAACCCGTTTCACAAGCTTTGGCATTTGGATCTACCTCTCCTCCTGCTGCACAACTTATTTGGACGACCGAACGTCCGATAGAGATGCGCGGCATCGCCAGGCCGACTTTGCCGTACTCACAACTGCACCAGAATCTCCTGCCCATCACCCCAAGGCTTCTCTGCCACCCTGAATGCTCAGTCTACAACGTCATCTCGTTCCATCACAACACTTCTGGTGAGCCGTAATGACAAAATGTACAATGCCTTAGATCCTCTTCCTCAGCACGACATTGGAGGTATGCTCGCGGGTGTCGTGAAGTCTCCCTCTAGTGCCTGTTCCATGCAAACCTCAAAGAGGCGTCGGTCACAATCAGGGACGCATTTTTGGAGGCTATTTGCGATAGAAACACGCAGGCGCGTGAGGCTCGAAAAGCGAGTTATTTACCGCAAATAAGGACGCAGGTGACGATGCCCTCAACATGCACTTGTTGCGTTGTCCTTATTTATCCACGCTAGTAGACGACATCACTTGTTGTCTTAAAGATATAATCTCTTGATTGTCGATAAGGTGACGAGTGCTGATTCACCCATTGGTCTCGTGTACACACTTACGACGGAATAGCTCATTAAAGTGCGTGGAGATAGCGGAAGAAAGAATGGCACTCTTGGAAAATGTTGACCAGGGACCCGGACAACAGGGCCTTCAGGCCCACCGAAATGGTTTCGCAGGTGGCTATATAGACCAATGCCTCACAGATTTGATCGGCCACCACGAGCGTGGAGTGACGAGGCTGGTCCTGATGACTGGGGCTTAGGCATCCTTGTACATATCCTGAAGAATGGAGATAAAACGAGATGCGAGAAATACCGCGGCATAAGTCTAATCGACGTTTCAGCGAAGATCTTCGCTCTTGTCCTACTCAGGCGACTCCAGGCTGTGCCTGACACAAGGACGAGGCCCAACCAAGCCGGATTACGTGCTGGACATAGCTACCAACAACTAACGGCCGTCAGATTCATTGACTTTTCCGCCGCATTCGATTCCGTTGATCGTCAATCCCTGTGGCGGATAATGGTGCTAAATGCTGTACCGGCAAACATCATCGCCATGATCAAGGCCTATTATCGCTCCACTACTGCGGGAATCCTGGTCCGCAACAATCTTTCCCAATCGTTCGGTATTAAGTCTGGAGTTCGGCAGGGTTGTATCCTGTCATCCATTCTGTTCATCTGGATACTCGAGAGGGCCCTACACGAGAGTGACGGCGTCGAGTTTGCACCCGGACACCGACTGAGTGATCTCGACTATGCCGATGATATCGCCTTACTTATTTCAAGTTTTGGTGATCTGCAGTCCATGGTGTCACGGATGAAGGAGGTCGCTAAATTGGTTTGTTGATCCATAAACCCTGGGAAGACCAAAGTGTTTTCAAGCTGCATCCCTGACCAGGAGAAGGCACCCCTCGTGATTGATGGCTGTCAACTTGAAGAAGTAGACAGTTTTAAATTCCTTGGGGCGAGGCTGCTGCCTAATGGACAGAGTAAGGACGACGTTATCTCTCGAATCGATGCTGCCCGCTTCGGAAATGCCTATGGATCCGACGTAACCTCTGCATCGGCACTAAGTGTCGAGCTTACCGTGCATCTGTCCGGTCTGTCCTTGTCTACGGTGGTGAATGCTGGGCTTTGCGCATGGAGAACGAGCGAAAACTGAGGTATTTGTCCACCACTGCTTAAGGACCATCCGTCGAATGAAGTCCCTTGACTTCGTCTTAAATTAGACAGTCCGCGCTCGCTGCGAAAACATCGCAAGGATAACTTAGGCCATCCAAGAAAGACGACTGAGGTGGTTCGGGCATGTTATTCATCGTCCACCCCAGGAGCTAAGTGTTACCGCCTTGGATCCGGCACCATTGCCCTATTGGAGGCGTCGAAGAGGATGTCAGTTCAAAACCTGGCTCGACACATTTCGTTAAGTAATGGAGGTGGTTATTGGACCTTTGGTACTCGGTCTACTTCGATGGCGAAGGGAATGGGTTGAGCTGTCCAGATCTGCTGCCGCGGATTTTCACACTTGCAGAGGTACAGTTCGTGACATCATCGAGGCTGGCTAGATCAGGCATGATCGCAGCCGTACAGGTGCGGAGGGTAACTTTGGTCCTATAACTTTATTCATCTAAACTTACACCATTAGAAGTCATTACAGATGGAATATCCGCACTCAGAATTGACTAGTCTTCATCGTCACATTGCCATGTCGGTTAAACCTCGAGCGACCTGAAGACTCATCGGAGTGGCCGTTTATGTTTGGGACATGCAATTAAAAGGGGTCATCCAGTATTCGCTAATTCGCTCACAGTGACGAGATCATATCCTTGAGCGAATTCATATAAATGACCAAACCGATGGCCGCTGCACTGCACACAAGGCCGCCGCTTTCTCGATTTGATGACATCACCCTTTCCGCGCAAATTAAATTGTTGTCGCGAATGTAATAAATTCTGGACGTCAACCACTCGAATCGCTGATGTTTTCTCTGGTCATTTCTCGTAACCGGAGTCAGTCGGCCTTGAGTGATATTAACCAGTTTTTTGAACGTCAGTTTTCTGTGACAACGGTTATTTTTCCGCGGTTGAGACGGCATCGAATCGCCAATCTTCTGTGGTTATTCTAGACTACCTCGTATGAACTGTTCAATTATTTGGGGGAAAATGAATAGTCGTGTCAACTTCCGAAGATACTGCATCGTCATGGTCGACTGGATAGCAAAACACCAACAATGAACAAATTATGCTCCACATTCGGAGGGCTCGAATGCCGTGCATACAAACCACAGTAACAAGTATTCATCGAAGTTTTTGTCCTATAGAATGTCTACTGATTGGATTTAGGTAGCTGCAGAAAGTCGCCAGACGACCAGCGCGACTCAATCCACGCCCAGACTGCTGACGTCATTGGTGTGTCTGAGGTTACTGGACAGGACGCTAACGCTGTTGAAGATTTACTAAGCGTGCTGCGCCACTGCTGGACGTGTGCGCGCGAATCCAGTGGAACCTCGCACCAGGCCTGGACGTACTTGGTATTGCTAGATTCACAGCTGTGCGCGGTAATCATTAGGTTTGCTTACACAAACCAAAGGCCCCAGTTCGACGTTGTACGCCTCCGCAGGTTAGTAGGCACACGAAGTCAACAGAGTAAGAAGCCTTCACACGACTAAATGTGTGACTAATGCTATGCCATTTGGACGCAACGAAATCGGCGGGAACAGTAGGGCGAGACGCAAGCAGGAACTACAGGTCTCGCTATTTATCGTATAAAGCTGCGGGCTGGTTAAAATAAAGGAAAAAGGTGACTAGACGCTTACACAGCTGAAGGCATGGTAGGAGAGAGCTGATGCTTCCCCGCGGCCAGCCAACGAAGGCATAAGAGACCACGGACATTAACCGTTCGATTTTTGTTGTCTATCAACAGAAACTCAAAAAATTACTGAGATGTCAGACCAATCAAGTGCGCAAGGCCAAGTTAGAAATGGGCGGGCTCACAATGGCGGTCACGGCGCCGTTCGTCGGACAAAGAGGCAAGTTAGGTGTCGCAGCTACGGCAACCGACGACAATGTTCCCCAAGGACAACGCCAGCTTTCCTCGTTGCAGACAACAGGTCCCACCGCCTACAGCTTGAAGCACCTAACTGGACTAGAAGCAAGCAACATAGGAAAATGACGTAGGACATTTTCCAAGCACCTTGTCAATGAGTAATGCAGAATCAACTGCGGACTAGAAAGTTCGTCAAGAAAGTTTTATGAGACAATAAGCAACGGTGGCAGGGATCAACCCGGCTGATGGGACGCTAATCAGACAAGGTAGGAAGGAGAATTGCGTTCGAGATGTGTGGCAGCTCCAGCTGAGGTCGGGTTACTAAGTCGACCAATTTGTTTTCGAGTACTTCAAGGAATAAACCTGGCGGGCAGAAATACATAGAGAGGGATTAATTAAGGGGATGGGGTCGACTTCAAGGGTTAAATAGTGAACCGATAGTGCGCCTATCAATGGACCTCTAGGATGCTTTTGTTAATTTTTAGATCTGTTTTTAAGAAAGTGTGGGACAGTGGAAAAAGCTGCATCTGATCTAATCACCTTCAGTGAAATTAATTCGAGGAAATCTGTCAGGTACAGCAAACAGTCATGCAAAAAGTTTAAGTCCTTATTTCAAATAACATTGTGCCAATCTAGAATGCGCGTAATTTTATTTAACAAGTACCTGATAACACTATCAAAATCATTATAGTTACGCTTTACCACGGGATTTACAGAAAGAGAAACTGAAAGACAACAATGAAGCAATTCGTGATTTCTTGTCAAAATGTCACGATAGAAATTTATGAATAAAAGTTGGATGCTATTATTAATCATCTAATCAAGCAAACTTGTGTTTCCCATCGATGAATGCACTGATTGGGGCCACTTTGAAAAATGAATGGTATCCGTAAATGTCTGGTGTGAAGGTGGGGATGTATTTGCATGCCGGTTTATTTCTGTTAAATTAAATTAATCAAGGATTATTTTGACACCAAACGTACGCTTTCCGACATTTTTAAGTAGCTCGAAAGCTTTCCTCAGCTCCACGATTGTCATGATGTAGGACTTTGTGGGCTGCAGCGAAGTCCAGATGCCTGGTAATGGAGTGGGCATCGGAGAACCACGCCTCGAGAGTTAGTCGTTCTGCTTTTCTGTTGCCTTGGCCTA